CGAAAGCCGCTGAGAGGTCGAGGAGAACCAGGATGGAGGAATGTCCCCCATCTCTGGCCCTCCAGAGATCATCGGAAGAACTTAGTTTAATTGACAGCTCTGTTATCACCTGGTAACCTCCCATTCATACATAAGTAGGTCCAATACTAAGCCAAGGTCACCATCAAACAACTGCCATCAATTGTCCAATAATGCCACATGAATTAGCTCTGTCCATTTGGGGCATTTCAACTTGGTCTCTCTGGCTATAAGTCTGAAGCTGCCATGGGGCATTCTTAAGCCTTTTATTGTTTATTTCCAATAGTTGTTTTATGTTGGAGGCTTAAGCAAAGTGATCAAGACCTGTTGCACAAGGAAGACACATTTACCTGTTAGCATAGGTGGTGAAAGACCCATCTGTACCCATTGCCATATGGAAGAGAGTGCAGGAAATAAATGGGAGTTGCATCTCCTCTGATATTGGAAGTGAAGCATTCAAACAGATCATGTCCCTTTACACGAGCCTAATAATTAATCCTGAGTGGTTAAGGTTACTATGATCACATGACAAAGCATGTTTACATGGTCATCTAGAAAAGAAGGAAAAACACAGGAAAAAAAAAAACTCTGTGAAATGCCTTCTACTGCTAAGTGCATGGGGAAAGGGGCTTTTCCTATGAAACGAAAGGAGGGGAAAACAAGACTATTGGCATCACTATATATATCCTAGTAAAGTTATTTGTTTGTTAGATTTATATCCTAGTTCAATCAGAAACAGAGTTTTGGCAGCTCACAAAAGATGTTCAGACTCCCCACTCCCCACTTTAGGAAGGACAAAAGCTAGTCTGATTTTGTTCCTGTTAGTGTTCATCTTGGCTTTCATTTTAGTGGATGTGAAAGATCTGCTTCCAGTAAGATATATGCATTTAAATAAAAAATATCTCTGATGAGATTGCAGAGGAAGGAGAAGTAATATCATGATATTAGGACACTTTGAGTAACAGTCTTCCATATTTACTAATTTTTACAGGGGGGGGGAGAAATATTTTTAACTGTATTTGTCACTGTTTCTTTTTTTCTTTTTCTTACAATAGATTAACAGCAATGGAGGAAAAACACAAACATTCAGCATAATACCTTTGGATTGGTTATGCAGACTTTCATTCAGAAATAATTGTAGTTCTGCAAACATGACTGAAAGTAAGAAGACATATTCAGGTGCACTAAAATAAAGTTGCATCAATAGATCCAGAGAGAGAAATCCATAAAAGTTAACATGGATTTTTTTTTTCATCCTAGTCTTGGTAAAGAAGATGCAGAAGAGCAAATAACAAGACAGCAACAAATAAAGATGCAGTTGTTTCTTCCTACTTGGAACTAATCTTTCTTCCATTAGTTCATCACTGAGTTCCTGCTAAACACCCTGTGGGAACAACAGTTTCCAGAGCAGACTATGGAAACTTTCAAAGCACAAACACTTGAGGCATATTCTCACGGGCCCCTTCATATTTGGCAGCTGGAGTTTCCAGTCAGGCCCTGATCATTTCCTTGTGGAGACTGCCACAGACAGAAGTCATCATATGCACAATGATGGCACATGTCACATATCAACCGAGATCAGGCCTTTGGCATGCCACCAAGATCACTCAGAGGGCTGTTCTTTCAGTGGTGTGAACAGCTTTTCTACTCTAATTGTAGCACAACCATTAGGCTGAGTGAGGCAGTTGTCTCAAATGGCAGGTTAAGCAAATTCAACCGCCAATCTGGCCTGTGTTGGTTCATGAAATTGAGAAACACTATCTTCTTATTTATCCCAGGGAGCACTATTACTTGAGCCTGCACTGAACTACTAGATAATAATGACTCCCTTAGTCTGGAGCAACTATTCTGTCTATCTATATGCATCTATTAGTTATATTACTCTTCTGTATATAGTTTAGAAATGCAAATAAAAATCAAATATATTTTACGTGGATTTGAATATTTACCAGCGGGAACTTTAAAAAAAACCCTCTATTGGGCTGAAATGGCCAGAACCAGGGGTGCAATTTAGCCAATTCTATCCAGTTCGGGTGAACCAGTAGTGGTGGTGGTGGGAGACTCCATCCACCTACCCCGAATGTCATCATGTCCCATTTTTGACATGCTCACATTTGCAAACCAGTAGTGAAGGTAAGTTGATTTCACCCCTGGCCAGAATTTGTATTTGTATTTTTGTATTTTATTGGTCTTGTATGCCGCCCACTCCCAAAGGACTCCGGGCGGCTTACAATAAACGGGGGAAGGGGATAAATAGACAAATAGACAAAACAACAATTTAAAATACACAACATTCATAGTTACNCTTTTTTTAATCAGCTGCAGTAGAGAAAACTCAGGCTTGGTTTTAGCTAATATGAGGTGACATTGCCAGGATCATTTCTGACCATAATCATACATTATATACACTATGATTTGCATAATTGTAGTTTATTAAACAAGCAGCGTTTTATGCGATTAAGACAAAATTCATTTGCCATGCTTTTTAACTGCAGTGGTCCTATGTCCTTAATTATAAATGACAATCCTTTATTTCAGAAACGTTTTAGATTTATTTAATTATTTATGTCCTCGGTTTTGCTCTTAAGTTTTCCTCTGTAAAGCAAAATTATAAACATAAACATTTTTTAAAATCCCTGCAGACCTCTTTCAGATTTGCCCCCTTTTTTGTGTTTGTCCTCTATTTTTCCCCAATAAAAGATGGTCACTCATGTAACTCATGAAGGCTGGGTTCACTTGAGAGACTACCAAAAGCCAAAGAGTCCATGTAAGGGCTTTGTTCAGTGTGTGAGTCCAACTCTATCTCTCTTCCTCCTCTTCCTCGATCCTTTATCCCTGATACAGGAAGAAGATCAAACTGAGCAGCCTAGCTCTAGATCACAAGGTGACTGGTGACCGATTCTACAGGCACGTGACGGCTGTGGGGCAGCGGCTAAGCCAGAGGGGGCCGCAGCTGGAGGGGGGCAAAGAGGCACTCTACCCATCAGTGCAGGACCTCTGCCAAGGACCCACCAAATCTGCCCAGCGTGAGTCCTCCTCCTCCTTCTTCGCCGTCCCTCAGTTCAGTGAGAGAAGCTGGGCAGGGAGAGGATGTGGTCAAGGAGCCTTTTTCACAAAGCTTGCAGTTTAATTTGTCATGTGCCTGCCTTGCAAGGCTGCTTCTGGAAAGGCTGCCGGGGTTTGGGGGCTGGTATTAGCCTTCTTAAGAAGTGGGAACTTCTACAGTTTGTAGATTTGGCACTAAGATGTATCTTCCCTCCAAGCTGTTCCTCCCCTCTCCAAATTTGGGCCTGTTGCATCAGGGGGAGTTGTTAGCTGTGGCTGCCACAGATGAGAACAGGCCCTGGCATCTGGCTCCATCTGTTGGCAGGAGGCAGCCCCAGCATTTTTGTTTGTTGGCTTTAGTCCTAATTTTGGAGGGAAACACCTCCTCCTAGGCAGTGGTGAGTGGAAAAAGAAAAGAAAACAAAAATCAGATAGAAATAGGAATGATGTCGATCACCAGTCCAACTACTGCTCATTTGACCATACAGATAAGCAAGCAAACCAACAACAACAACAACAAAAAACCTGGTGTTGTAGTTGAATTAACTCTGCATTGTTCTCCTAAAGGAACCAGGTCTTTTCTGTCTTAGGTTTCTAGCAATCCTGTAGCAGTATAAGTTAGAATACGGGTGTCAAACTTGCGGCATCAGGTTGCTGTCACATGACGTTTTCCCCATTTGTGGAACTGGGGTGGGTGTGGCCTGTGCATAACGCAGCCAGCCTGCAGGCCACGAGTTTGACACCCTGGGTTAGAACATCAGCCAGGGAAATAGTGAAATTTATAAAAAAACTAAGCAATGTGGCCAGTACCTTTGTGGGCTTTGAATTCAATCCAGGTTTGTAAATAATAGAAAAGGTTTATTTAATTGATTAAGAAACAAATACAGTGAAACAAAAATCCTCTCTACTTGTAGGTAGTTCTCACTTAATAACCACAGTTGGAACCGACACAATCATTAAGCAAATCATCACGTGATCCCAACTACAATTGTACTATTGGCTTCTCCATTGACTCTGCTTATCGGAAGCTGGTTGAGAAGTGTGCTGATGGTGATCGTTTGACCATGCGATACTCCATTGGTTGCCAATGCCCTCTGGTTACGAAGTGCCCCATGTTAATCACAAGTGCAAAGACTAGTCGGAAATATTTCCTGTGCCATTATGACTTGAATGGTCACTAAACAGGGGAGTTGCTCAGCGAGGACACCCTGCATTAAGCATCACTGCCTTTCTGTTAAAGCCTCCTGAAGTACTGCATACCCAATCTCTTCCTAAGAGATCATAATCTCTGACCCTGAGGTGAATCTTTATTACCGACCTTGTTGAAAAGCAGAGGGCTAAGAAAGGATTGTTTACATCAGTCTTTCTCAGTCTGATGCCAGATAGATTGGCTGGGACAGCTTGCTAAGTCTTGGAGGCCATAGTCATAAAGCACCTTATGGAGACACAATCCAATTCCTCCGTACAAGTAAAATGGAAAGGATGTTCATTTGTTTGTCCAAAAAGCATTCTAATCACCACAACGTATTCCTTCTGGCTGCAGGCTCCATCCCCTTCTGCCGTAGTGTCTGTTCTCCCATCTTTCTATGGAGCCTCATCCTAATGGGCATGACGCAGTTGCGAATCATCTTCTATATGGCAGCCATGAACAAGATGCTGGAGTTCCAGGTGACAGGTGGCGTGTACCCAGGTGAGTTCAATGGGGAAGGAAGGGCGTTTCTGAAAACAATGCAGGAGAAAAGGAAGCAATGGGAGGAAGGACATTTCTCCCTGCTTAATGAACTTCTAGTTCAGTGATGGCTAACCTTTTTGTTCTCGCGTGCTGAAATTGACAGCGTGCGCACATGCCCACACCCACAATGCAAAGTGCCCCATCCCCTGCGTATGCACACACAACCCCCCCCCTGCTCCCCCCACTCATGAGTGTGACACCTTCCATGCCCCATTTTGGGCCTAGTAGGCCTCCCTGAAGCCTCTTGTGAACCAAAAATGGGCGCAGGGTGTGTACGCTGTCCCTCCATGCTGCCCCCACACATGCAACTCCCCCTCTCTCACACATGCGCGTGTGTCTCCCACATAGGCAGCAGAGACCCAAAAACCAGCTAGCTGGCGGGAACTGAGCTGGGCGACAGCTCACTTGCCCACAGAGAAGGCTCCGTGTGCCACCTGTGCCATAGGTTCGCCATCATGGTTCTAGTTGAAAGTTCTATCCTGAAAAGAAAATCTGGTTAATCTGATGTGGGCTTTTTCTTTCTTTCCTTTTTATTCCAGTGCCAAAAGAATTGGAGGATACAACCGAGAAAACAGGCAGGAGCCTTAATTGCCTGGGGCTAAGATAGGTCTCTCAAAGTATCTGTGTAATGTAATCTTATAAAGGACTTCTGCATTCAGTTCTCTGTCTAAGCTTTAAGGTGAAATCCTCCATTTCCCAGGAAGCAAACCTTCCAAATGTCCTTCCAAAAATTCTAGCCATTGCTGTGAGCTCAAGCACTGCCGAACATCTGACCCCTTTGTGTTTCTCTGATTACTGGGTAGATGTAAGGGGATGATTTTTCACATTAGTGAAATCAAAGTGCTGAAAGAGCAGAACCATCATTATCACTGTGAATATTAACAGGAGCTTCCTGGAATGGAATGGGAGGCTCAAGGCAAAAGGGATAAAATGATCAGCAGATTGATCCAAGTGTGTAAATAAGCTGGACAAGAGAATTCCTGCTGTTCTGAATGTTTCATTTCTGTTACGATGTGATTTTATACTTCTATCCCATCCTCCCTGCCCCTCCACTGCCCGGAACTTAGAATAATATGCTTTTATTTATTTGGGTTAGGGAAGGAATATTTCTCCTGGTTCTTTGAATTATATTCTCATTCCCTCTCTCCTTTCTTTTTTGTTGGACAGTCAGTTTCTACTCTTCCATCTTTGGTGTCATGCAGTTGTTATGTCTTCTCACTTGTCCCTTCATTGGCTATGTGATGGACTGGCGCATAAAGGATTGTGTGGATGCACCAGGAAATATAAACCGTGCTGGATCTATCAAGTGAGACTTGGATAATTTCTAAATGTCAAAACAGCAAATGTAGAATGCAACCCATGCTTGAGGGTAGAGATACTGGGGCACTTAACAGAAGGACCAATGATGACTTTCCTTTATCTTCCTAGTCCTGAGGTGAAAGGAATTCCACCTAAAGTCCGCTACCTTAAGATCCAGAAGCTCACCAATGCTATCCGAGCTTTTGTCACCACCAACCTTCTGTTGGTTGGGTTTGGTGTCACCTGTTTGATCAACAATCTTCCTCTGCAGGTAACTTCTATTGTGTTCTTCGTTCCTCTGATTTTCCTTGATATTCCCTCCCTTTGATAATGCTCTTCAGTTGCCTAAGTGCTGTTTTCCCACCCTCCTTAGCTCCTTAGCTTGTTTTTCATTTAATGACTCCTGTTGATTTCCTCCTCCTTTCTTTGTGTCTTTTCCCCTACAGTATGTGACCTTCATTCTTCACACCATGGTGCGCGGCTTTTTCCATTCTGCCTGTGGAGCTCTCTATGCTGCTGTGTAAGTTATGCCACTGTGGGGGAATCTTTTGCACTTGAGAATGGGTGCAAGGGGATTGGCCTAGTTTGGTAGAATGGTCTGCTACTCAGGTTAAAATGGGGTAGTCCTTCTAGTTTGAGCAGTGTAGTCTGTCCAAGAAGAAAGCCGTGTGAGTTCGGCTTTCTTTTCTTGCTTATTGTCTTTTTTCCCAAGGGAACAAATCTTCCCTAAGAATGGAAGCGGGTGAAGTAGAAGACGAGCATCGGTTAAATTTCTGTTCCAATTACTGAGTCTAAATACTGTTCATGGTTTTTAAAGAAGAAGTGGCGGTTTATCTTCTTCTTACATTTTCCATTAGCATTTTCTTAGACCTAAATACACGTTGAATCCATCGAGGCTTCTAAATCTTTATAATATTGATAGATTGGACAGCTTTTGAGCAGGGTGGGGAACCTGTGGCCTTCCAGAGGTTGTTGAACTATCGTTCCCAGCGTTCTCCGTCATTAGACATATTGACTGGGCTGCAGAGAGTTGCAGTTTAGCAGTTTCTAGAGGACCACAGGCTCCCCAACCCTGAACAAGTGATAGATTTCCATTTCCCTAAACAAAATAGAAACTTGTGGTTGTTAAGAATGGCTATTTCCGTGGAGATGTTGGGGTAAGGGTTGTCAATAGCCTCTCTGGCTTTCTGAGAGTCATTTTCTTCGTATTATGTTGGATCACCAGGTACCCTTCCAATCACTTTGGTACATTGACCGGACTCCAGTCTTTGATCAGTGCCGTATTTGCTCTCCTCCAACAGCCACTTTTCATGACTATGGTGGGCCCATTACACGGGGATGCCTTCTGGGTGAGTTTCAGCTGTTTGAATGAAGATAAGAGTTTCTTGAAGAAGGAACATGGTGTTTTTTAAATCCAGTGTGACATCTACTTCATTATTTAGAGTTACTAACAAACACTCAAGCAAGCTCAGTGCCAAGCTGATATGCTTCTTCCCATACTAACAATATGTTTGGGTTCTCGGTTTTCTTATTTTGTACTTTGCGTATCAGTGTATCCCTTACCTTGTTTTCACCAAAGCTGTTGTACCCAAACCAGTGGTGGGTTCCGGATCCCATTGCAATCGGTAAGGTTGCAACAGGGTCCGGCGTCCTCCACATGAAAGCATGTGGCCCGCACATGCGTCGTATCTTCCAGCGATGCCTCTGCAAGCCTCCGCAATGCTCCAGTTGCTCGCCGGAGCATTGCACAGGTGCTGTACGCGCCATCCACATGTGCGGAAGTGCTGAAGGCTTTAAAGAACAGGTAAGGAGCTCGGGAGGACAGGTGGGCCCTCCGGGGCACCGTACCAGAATGGTACCTGATGCTCCGGGCAGGCTCTGGTACACCTGTATCAGGATGTACCGCCTGCAACCCACCACTGACCCAAACCCACATACATTCTGTGTCTAATTTTCAATTCTCGCTCCATATCAACCACTTTCTAAAAAGGGTTTTTAAAAAGTGCTTTACAGATTTGGAAAAAGAGAGGTATTGGTGATGTCACATAAGCTCCACACAATTGCTCTGACTGGCTTTGTCATCTGACTTTTTCTCTGGGAAGTTGTCGCAGGATAGGGAGAACGATTCATATGAGCATGTAGTAGTGCACCATATTTTTTGGACTATAAGACGCACTGGAGTATAAGATGCACCATGATTTTGAAGAGGTAAATTTTTTAAAAAAGTTTTTGTACTCTGCAGGCCTCCCAAAACCTCTGCATATCTCGTTTTTTGCACACACACAAAAAGGGGGGGGACATGCAGAGTTGTGGGAAACCTGTAGAGTGCTTCTGGGGGTTGGGGGGGGGGAAATTGCAAAAATGCCCTGTTTTCTGCTCGTTTTTGCCCTCCCCANGCTGTCAAAATAAAAGGTACATTAATAGAAGCAACAATTTTCTTATGGTATGGGGCTTATATTTGGGGTTCTCAGAAAGTGGGTTGTAACATAACGATGATGATAATGAGGAGAATGAAGATGAAGATGATGATATACAGTGCATACAATGTGAAATCACAGCTGCCAGTTCTTTAGCTAGTGTTGGCTTTCAAAAGCATTAAGTTCTTCCCAGTAACCTAAGATGATATCATAACGTATTATATGTGTGGATTCATGCAGTTTGACCTTTTGTAATTGACAGATGGAAATTTTGTCAATACCCAGTGTTGTTCTAAACGATTTGGTGTGGCAGCCAGTGTGTCAAAAACCACTGGTACCACCACAGCTAATTTATGCCATAATCCACAAACTTCAATTTTCAGATCTTGATACTTTGATACTTCGTAATCTTCTTCCTATTCTTTGTCTTCTATTCTATTGTTGCCTGGCATTATAACCGTTTAAACTCAGTGTTTTGATTTGTAGACAAATTGCTGGCATTTTGTAACATTTTAATTTCCTTACCAAATTAAGGTAAGGATCTGGATAAATTTTTTAGTACTGAAACAAAAAGAGAGGGAGAAGTAACATTAATACTCAAGTATTACATTTCTCTTCATGATTTTATTCATAGTTAAAGCCCATGGCCTCTGAAGATCTTGCAGGCCAGTTGCCAAATCTATATGTCAGACAGAACTCCTCAAATGCAGTATCTCTAGAATTTGATCCTGATGTCAACTATCAGTTTGTGGAAACCTTAGATGAACGATACAAATGTACACGCTGTCACCTAGTCCTCCATAATCCTCATCAAACAGGATGTGGACATAGATTTTGCCAGAATTGCATTGATTCTTTGAGGTATGAAAGGCTTCTTTTTCTTACAATATTTGTGCAAATTCATGCTGTCACTGTTTCCTTCATAACAATTATACAGTTTGTAATTTTATAGAATATGGAATGGTAACCCATGAAAGGATGCTTATTTAATTTTGCTTTTCTGGGGGTGTTATATAATTCCAGCAGTCTTATGTACGTAAGTGCTCCCTAAAATAAATGAATTTCAGATATATTTAATGCTAGCTGGTTACTATTCATAGTAATTTTTCCCAGTAATGTACAGCTAGCATTGTACCAAAATAGGTAAAATGTGGGCAGATTTTATATCTTGGCTGGGTAATGCTGTGAGAAATGGCCCATATATTCTGAACATAAGATCATAAACAGCTATATTTTCCCATGAACTTTTGTTTATTCCAACACTTGAAATCATATGTGACTTTAAGAGCACAAAAGCATTACAATGATAGAATCAAGTGTGGCTTGGTGTCATATCGTTAC